CCCTTAATTCCCTTGTCTTCCCGTCCTGGGTGTTTTTCTCAGGCGGGCAGAGCTTTTACACTGATGCTCTGAAGAGGACATATGAAGGGACTTCTTGTTTGACTTCATCTTGGGGGACAGGCAAAGTAATGAAATGAAAAAGGATCCTATTAACAAATTGTCAGGACAGTAGACACAAGGGCCAGGAAGATTGCCCCATAGTTGGCAGCCTGCCTGGGGGAGAAGGCAGCTGGGATAGAGAAGGGATCACTAAGACAATGATGGTTGGAGGGATCGTTCGGGATGGGAGACGTGTGCTGAAAGTAGATAAAGGACCAAACGGGATAGCCTCTCATATCTGCATTGCAAATTATAATGCCCAAAAGGAGAGAGTATGGGGGAAATTGTCGGCCATGGAGGCAGGGGGAGGGTTGGAAAGGGGGGAGGGATACTGGGGACATTGGTGGTGGGGAATGTGCACTGGTGGAGGGATGGGTGTTTATGACTGAAACTCAAACATGAAAGCTTGTAGCTGTATCTTGTAATTACAGTTACAATTATAGCTTTTTCTTAAAGCTTGTAACTGTAAAGGTGATTCAATTAAAAAAAAAAAGTCAGGATCAGAAGTATCCGGCTGGGGAGAAAAGCCAGCAGAAAGGTCAAGAGAAAGAACTAGCATGGAATGAATGCCTCAGGGAGGCCAGCTTGGATCGTGGGTGCCCAGCGAGGGAGAAAGAAGACGCAATGTAGGAGGGAGGGAGGCGGGAGAGTCTGTTTTTACCCACGGCTGGGAGCGATGATCTGGTTCTGAACGGAAAGTGCCACTTCTGTTAGGAAGTAAGTTAATGCTGCCTTAGGATTCCTGCAGAACAACTATAAACAGGGTAGGATATAAAAAACGACATCTGCCACTCTCTGGGTTGGGTTTGTTTTATTTATTTATTGCTTTTTGGGTCACACCTGGCAATGCTCAGGGGTTCCTCCTGGCTCTGCACTCAGGAGTCACTCCTGGTGGTGCTCGGGGGACCATATGGAATGCCTGGGATCAAACCCGTGTCAGCCGCTTGCAAGGCAAATGCCTCACTCGCTGTACTGTCACTTTGGCCCCCATCTACCACGGTCTGATGTGGGAAAAGCTCCCGATTGGGGAAGGGTTCCAGGACTTGGAAGAGAGACTGGATGGAGCTTCGGTTTGGAGAGTTTCTGGGGAGGACTCGTTTCTCACCCAGGAATGAGATCTGATGGGACATTGGGCCGTTTTCTAGCCTCGGAAAGTCAGAAGTGAGTTCAAGGTGGCGCTGGGCTCGTGAGTGTGTGGGAAGCAAGGGAGGTGGGGAGACAGGGACCAATTCTGCATGCAAACTCTGCTGGCCCTTAGTCACCCAGCCCACAGGGGCCAGAGTGAGGCAGAGAGGAAGGGAGCAGAAATTCCAGCTGCCGCAAGAGACGTGGACTTTGTAGTGAGTCCAAATGCGTTAACATCCGAACATTTGAAAAATAAAAACCAAAAAACAGTTTTTTTCCAGAGGAATAAAAATTGAGTCCAGATTGAGAGTAGGATGTATAAAATATCTGGGGTATAATCTAAAAATCATTCAACCCATTCTCCAAAGAAAAGGAAATCAATATAGATCGACCTGACATGGGCCAAATGCTAAATTGGGCAAATAGTGAACATCTGTTATAACGACTTTCAGTGATCAGTGGAAAATGTGCTAATAATGTCTTATAGGGAACCTCGTAGAAATAAGATCTTGAAATTTAAAAAAAAATAATATATATATACATATATATATATGTATATATATATATATGAGCTGGAGCGATAGCACAGCGGGTAGGGCATTTGACTTGCAAGCGGCAAACCCAGCCGACTCTGAGTTCTATTCCTCCACCTCTCTCAGAGAGCCCGGCAAGCTACTGAGAGTATCTCGCCCGCACGGCAAAGCCTGGCAAGCTCCCCGTGACATATTCAATATGCCAAACACAGTAACAACAAGTCTCACAATGTTACTGGGCCCACTCGAGCAAATCGATGAACAACAGGAGGTCAGTGACAGTGACAGTGACAAAAGAACCAGCTACGCATGCGAGAGTGGGAAGATATAGTATCTGGAATTCAGACTTCTCCAAACATAGTGGTATTGGGATCAAGGAGCGAGTTCATTGGGTTGAGATGAACTCGTCCCTTACACATCCTTGTCCTCTGCTCCGCGCTGTGACTTTGTTCCTGCACTCGGCCCTGAGAAGTAGCCGAGGGGTTCCAGGAAAGAGGTATGGGGTGGGAAATGCTGTCTGCTGCTCTCCGCAAAGCACTGCCTGGCGCCCCTAGTACCCGGAGCGTGACCTCCCAGCAGCCCCCCGCACTGCCAGGTATGGCCCCCAAAGAGCAGGGCTGTACATCTTTGTCGAAGGTACAACTGGACTTTCATCAGCTGTGGTCACCTTTGCCATGGACCGGCTGGAACTTGCGCGATTGAGCATTCAAGCCTCGCAGCTGAGATGCTGCCTGCAGACGGTGCCTGGCACCAGGATTCCCGGGCGGGGGAAACCAGCAGAATAAGCCTAACCAGCAAGGTCCCATCCGGGAGTCTGTGCTCAGGGGTTCCTCCTGGCTCTGCACTCAGGAATCACGCCTGCTGGTGCTCAGGGGACCCTAAGGGACGCTGGGGATCGAACCCAGGTTGGCCACGTGCAAGGCAGACACCCTCCCCCACTATCCTGCCGCTCCTGCCCCTCGGGTGCGGATTCCTTCGACTACACTCTTTTCGTAGACTTCAGCCCTGAGGAAGGAAGGAAATAACCATTGTCATTTTAAAACAAGCACTGGGTGCGAAATGGGACGCGTTTTTGTCTGGGTTACCATGGTTTCCAAGTTTTCCCGTGGTTCTTAACTAAACGGGCTCTGTCTCGCTCAGAGCCCGTCTGAGATGTGCTTTCGGGAGTGGGGGCCAAGTTCAGGGCTGGTGGGAGAGTCCCCGAGAAGCAGGACCCGTGACCACGCCTGAGGGTCGTGGGGTGTCTGCGGGCAGTGCTGGGGCTGGTTCTGAGGGGGTCCCCATAGGCAGTGCTAGGTCTGGTTTTGAGGGGGTCCCCACGGGCAGTGCTGGGGCTGGTTCTAAGCGGAGCTTTTCCTGCAGCTGTCGCGTCGTCGGCCACTGACCTGGGGTGTCCGGATTACACTCAGGCTTCCAGCACCGGCGATGGGGGTAGGTGCCATGGACCCACAGGGCCGCCCTGTTTCATAAGGGCCGTCTAACAGTGCTCGTGGGTCCCACAGAGTTTTGGTAAAATGGAAGCCAGGCCCTGAACCCACAGAACATTCTCTTGACGGAAAGGGTCTTACCTGGGGGTGCCGGCAGGCTGTCAGCTCGCCCTGGGGGCTGTGAAGGATTCCAGCCAGAGTTGTATTGTTGGGAAACACCAGCCTGGAAGGGCCTGAGGCGTCTTCGTCTCCAAGGGGTGAGCAGGCCCATGGGCATTCAGTGTCCCTGTTTCTGGAATCTTCTAGAATGGTCTAGAATGATCTAGAGCCTATCTGGGACAGGCAGTTTGCTTCTGTGGTAGGAGTGGTGCCACAGGCTTGGGCCGTGATGTGGACAGTGGCCACACTGTCCCCTTCCCCTGGGCCCTTCCACGCCCCAACACTCACCTTGTCCAGCTCTGCCCCTTTTATACACGAGCAGCTGCTTGCCTATGGCCATGCCTGTCACCTGGCATGGGGACGGGCTGAGCAGGCCGGCAGACCATGGTGATCACCCATGTCAGGTGCCGGGGCCGCCCCCCACCCCCCCAGGGTCCCGCTCCTCCCCCGACCCAAAGGCCAACAGGTCCTCGGATGCATCTTTGATCTGGGAAGTCTCAGCCGTTTCCATTTCGCGGACGACCTCCACGTTGGCTTGTGTGGTGTTTCTCGGAGCGGGGAGTAAGGGGCCGGAGCCATAGCACGGGAGGGGGGGGGGCATTTGCCTTGCACACGGCCGGCCCAGGTTCGATTCCCAGCACCCCATATGGTCCCCCGTGCACCACCAGGAGTGATTCCTGAGTGCAGAGCCGGGAGGAACCAACCCCAGTGCATCGCTGGGTGTGACCCAAAAAGCAAAAAAATAAAGAGTGGGAGGCACGCCCACCCCTCCGGGGAGGCATTGGGACGATGGGGAGGGGGACAGAAGCCTTGGCTGCCCTTGGCGGGGGTCTTCTCGCCCACATTGGGAAGGTGACACCAGGTGTGGGTGTAGCTGTGCTCTCGGGGACACGAGGATTCCTGACTCGCTGCCCTCTGCCTCTCCCAAGAGGTCTCGGGTGCCCTCAGATGGCACCTTGCAGTGCCCCCCCCCCCATCTCGTGTCCAGTGTCGGGCACACACGAGCCCCTTCTCGTAGTTCCCTGGAGAACGAGACCCTCAGGGCCTGTTTCTCAGCCTCCTGCGGACCTCAGGTCCCTCCCTTGGAGCCCCCACCCCCAGTCCGTGCCCTGACCCCACTTCACGTGCTTTTCCACCTAATAGCCAAATTCTCCCCCCCTGCCCATCCCCAGGGTTTGAAATCTGAACACAGAAGCTCCACCCTCCATAGGTGCTGTTCCTGTCCCTGCCCTGGGGTCCCGGGAGCCCTGGGGAGGCCTCGATTGAACCCCTCAGCAGCTCGGCTGCCCCAGGACATTGGGACCGCCTGTTTCCTCCTTGTCCCCGGGTCCTGCCCCGTGGTGCTGGGCCTCGCACTGATTCCTCGACGCGTGTATCCGGAGCATTGGCGTCCACTGTCTGGAGACCCCCGGGGAGACCCAGTCGTCCCCCTCTTACCTGTTGCTGACACAGATGATGACCAGAGTGGACCACACAGGCTCAGTGACGGACCATCAAGCCCAGGGGCAGGGGTGTCCCTGGCTGGGAGCCCCAAGTCAGCACCCAGCAGAGCGGCCGGGGGACAGGAACGCCGCCCCTCTTGGTCCTGCTCAGGGGATGGAACTCAGGTCGGGCACACCCAGCTGACCCCGCTGACCCTCATGCACTTGCCCTGCAGGTGGATGTGGGCGTGGTGCGTTTGGTCCCGCTGACCCGACCCGGCATCCAGCAGCCCTTCAAGCTGGTGGAGAAGGTGGTCCAACACACGTTCCAGTTCCGCCGGAAGCACTGCCACCACGGACTCGGGTAGGTCGCCGCCTGCCCCTCCCTGCTATTCTCACTCGGCGAAGCACAGCTCCTTCCCCGGGGTGACGAGTCCCCAAAGCTGCCCAGCTCTGCCAGTGACAGGGAGGTCCGGGCCGCCACTGCCCACAGCAGGGACCATCCGGCTGCCTCCTGCCCTCCCCACAGGGGGACCCTGTCCAGCCCCAGAAGCCCCCTGAGTCAAGGACACTACGGCCTGCATTCCACCTGGGCAAAGAGTTTGGTTTATATTTATGGCTTCACCCATGGGTGCTCAGGGCTCACTCCCGGCTCAGGACTCACTCCCTCCCGATGGGCTCAGGGGACCTTTGGGGTGACACCCAGCTCAGCGGCATGCCACCCAGGTGCCCCAACCCTGTACCATTTCTAGCCCCTCCACCCCAGATTAAATTCCAAGTGGGAATTTTCTTTAAATTAATTTAATTAATTAAATTTTAATTAAATTAATTAATTAAACTTTAATTAAATTCTGAATGGGAATGTCATTCAATTAAATTCCGAGTGGGAAACTGGGTGGCCTGCTGCCCCCAAAGCACCCCACCGGGGAAACCGAGGCTAGGAACGTCTGTATCGCAGTGTTGCGCCCGTCAGAATTGTGTCGCTGTTAAGATGGTGCCGCTGGGCTGACGGCGGTAGCGGCGGCCAGGCACACGTCTGGCCACGAAGCCTGTGTCCTGCGTGGACATACCCGGGACACGGAACGATGCAGCCCAGCACGTTGTCCCACCCCTGCCCCGGGAGGTGGGAGAACAGAAGTGACGCGTCCCCAGTCACAGCTGGTCTCAGCAGGCCCCTCACCCATGGTCCCTCGCTGCAGGATGCTGTTCCCGGAGGCGCGGCGCCCAGAGAGCACGGAGGCATTACTGCAGCGGGCGGACGTGGAGCCCACCCTGCGGCCGGGCCACCTCTCTGTCGCCCACTTCCGGCGCCTCTGCGATGCCTACCGGCACATGTGCGACCGCGACCCTGGACTCTTCGCGTACAACTTCCGAGAGGAACTCAGGCAGAAAAAAAGCAGACCCCAGACGGGAGAGGCCTGGCGGGAGAGCGACAGTCTGTAACGGGGGGTCCCCTGCGCGGGGACAGAAGAAGCCGCAGTGTGCCTGCCATGACTCACTTCCCTTTCTCTGGACACCGGTGGAGAAAAACACCTAAGATCAAGACACAGGACCAGGGGGCTGGAGCAACAGCACAGCGGGGAGGGCGTTTGCCTTGCACGTGGCTGACTCGGGTTCGATTCCCAGCATCCCATATAGTCCCCTGAGCACCGCCAGGAGTCACTCCTGAGTGCAGAGCCAGGAGTCACCCCTGTGCATCGCCGGGTGGGACCCAAAAAGAAAAAAGCCAAAAAAACCACAGTACCGGGTTTTGCTTTTGTTTGTTTGTTTGTTTTACTATATATACTGCATAGATATACATGTTTAGTATAAACAGCATCTAGTACATCCTTACAAAAATGAAGTATCTGCACCGGGTGCCCCTAGCCCACATTAAAATAATTTAAATGTGCTTTAAATAAAGCAAAAAAAAAAAAAAAAGATCAAAGGAAATGCCCAGAGGATTGGGGGGGTGGGGGGGAAGGGAAATCTCATCTTCTGAAAAGTATCTGCTTCCCACCTTTTCCACATAAATTAAAATAGAATGACATTTTTAAAGATCTTCTAGACGTCGTTTTTTTTTGTTTGTTTTGTTTTGTTTTTGTTTCATTTTGATACCTGCTCAAAAGGGGATGTAAACTAAGTCATTTACAGATTCCGACCAGTTTCATCTAGTTTTCTGATCCACAATAAATTAAAAATAACTTAAAATCTTTACAGCTACGTCGTGGGAAGACACAGACCGTGCAGAGCCCGGGCCGAGGCTCAGTTCCTCTGCAGTTCTCTGCTTTCCCACCAGTCTGAGAGGGAAACATGAGTCGTCCCCCCCCCCCCCACCACAATTCCCCGGGGAGCCGCATCCACGGTGGGACCCTCCTAGGAGGCCCCAGGGCTCTCGGCTCCGAGCAGACGGTCCTCGTGGCCGACGGCCGTCAAGCGCGGCACCCCGAACTCGCGGTCCAGCACGGTGCCGAGATGCAGGCCGGCGTGCTCCGAGGGGCTGTCCAGGGACTGGTGACGCACCTGTGCCTTCAGCAGCGTGCCCCGGTCCCTCTTGGTGCTGTTGGCTTTGCGCTTGATGGCGCAGAAGTGCCCGCGGACCAGCTTGGGCTGCCCCCCGCCCGGCTCCTCCGAGATCCTCAGACGCTGGAACTGGAGTTCGATGTCCTTGGTGGGGCTGGCCGGCCTGGGGGTGCGAGGGTAGCCCCCATCCTCCTCCACCTCCTCCTCCTGCTCCTCCGCTGCCTCCTCCTCTGCCTCCTCCTCTTCTTCTTCCTCCTCCTCCTCCTCCTCCTCGTCACTCAGGATGTCGCTCTCCTTGATGAGGCCGTCGGGGAGATGGGCCAGGGCAGGGAGGGGCTGGGGCAGGGCGTCCTGCATGCTGCCGGCTGTGCTCTGGGTGCTACCGCTCAGGCTGCCCTCGTCTGAGTCCAGGGAGCCGCCCTTGGCGGGCTCCCCCGGGCCCTCGCCGCTGGAGGAGTTCTTGATGCTCTTCAGGGAGCGGGAGGACGCTGCAGGGAACAAGAGCACCGTCCTTCAGAGGGAGCACTGTGGCTGGAGCCATAGCACAGCGGGGAGCGTGTTTGCCTTGCACACCGGCCGACCCGGGTTCGATCCCCGGCATCCCCTAGGGTCCCCCGAGCACCGCCCGGAGTAATTCCTGAGTGCAGAGTCAGGAGCAACCCCTGAGCATCGCAGGGTGTGACCCAAAAAGCAACACACACACACACACACACACACACACACACACAGAGGGAGCACTGCCTCCTGGGTGGACTTGGAGGTCTGGGATTCTTACCCTCTCACTGCACTTCAATCGACTAGATCTTGGGATTATTTAATGGGAGAAAAAAGAGCACTGTAGCACTGTCCTCCCATTGTACATCAATTTGCTCGAGCGGACACCAGTAACATCTCCATTGTGAGATTTGTTACTGTTTTTGGCATATCGAATATGCCACGGGGAGCTTGCCAGGTTGTGCCGTGTGGGCGGGATACTCTCGGTAGCTTGCCGGGCTCTCTGAGAGGGGTGGAGGAATCGAACCAGGGTTGGCTGCGTGCAAGGCAAACGCGCTACCCACTGTGCTATCGCTCCAGCCCATGTCTTATGTTAGTTTCTCTATATGAATTTCAGAAACAGGCAAAACCATCTACGGTGATAGAAATCACAAATATAGCAGCTATAAAGTGATGATTACATGAGGTGATAGAAGGAAACTTTCTGGATGATTAGAAAGGTTTTATATCCTGACTGGAGTTCTGGCTATCCAGATATATAGTCACTGGAAAGGCACTGTAGCACTGTCCTCCCGTTGTTCATCGATTTGCTCGAGCGGGCCCAGTAACGTCTCCATTATGAGACTTAGTGTTACTGTGTTTGGCATATCGAATACGTCACGGGGAGCTTGCCAGGCTCTGCCCTGCGGGCGAGATACTCTCGGTAGCTTGCCGGGCTCTCCGAGAGGGGCGGAGGAATCGAACTCGGGTTGGCCAGGTTGGCCAAACACAAATTATTTAACATAGTTTGTGGTTACATTAACCATAAATTTTACTCAAACTTTTAAAAAGGAAAATTTCTGACAGGCATATCATGTCTCATTATTCACAACTGTATCTCACTTACTTCCACGGAAGAGCAGAACAGGGTCCGCAGGGTTTAAATTTAGCACATCCATTAAACAGGGGTTCTCATGGGAAAAATTAGAAAGGGCCAAAATGATAGTACAGTGGGTAGGGCGTTTGCCTGGCACACGGCCTACTTGGTTTTTTCATCCAATAAGGTCCCCCAAACACCCCCTAAGAGTGGTCCCTGAGCACAGCTGGCTGGGGCTCAACCACTAAAAAAATTTCCAGTGCAGACCATATAGTCCAGGATTTATGGCATTTGCTCACCTTGAACTCGGCTGACCCCTGCCAATCCCCGGCACTGCATCTAAGACCCTGAGCACCCCTAAGCCAACCCCCTCCCCTGCAAAGTGAAAACTGCAGGTGGAATTTTTTTTTTTAAGTTTCATTTGAGATTTACTTGAAGTTGGGGGATTTGGCAATTAGTAGGTGATCAATGATCACTGTTTAACTAGAGTTAATTAGTGACAAACTATTAGGAAGGTTAGGATTCTCATTTTGCCAGTGGGTAAGTTGACACACTGGTTACTAATAAAATGTTACCTGCCCACACGGCAGAGTCTGGCAAACTCCCCATGGCGTACCCAATATGCCAAATACCAGTAACAATGATGGGTCTCATTCTCCTAACCCTGAAAGAGCCTTGAATATGGCACTTTTTAAAACCTCAGGGCTAGGACAAAGGAGACGTTACTGGTGCCTGCTCGAAGCAATCAATGAACAACAGGATGATCGTGGTCATGATCATGACCCCTCCTTTGACTAAAGTACGTTGTAATTGGATTGCCAAGATTATGCCCAGGTAGACCTCCTCGGCCCGTTCATTTCCCTTGCTGCTCAATTAAAAGCAGAAAAATGTTCTTGATCTGGCATGAGCTGGAGTCCGGAACCCACATTCAGACATTTAAGATGACGGGGTCGTCGTTTGTATGTGTTGAATTCCTCGCTTTTAGGCTGACAGGACAAGAGGGAAAATTCTACTGCGATGCCCGTGCAGACAAGAACAGCAGATTTTTTTTTTTTTTAATGGCAATAACTTAGTCCAGCAACAGAGAAAAACCTCTGTAAGTGAATCTGGAGAGGCTGTAGCAGAGAAGCAAGACCAAAAGCAAGAGAAAATGGAAACTTTTATGCCTGGTGATAACATTTCAGCTTGAGAACAGCATGCTCTGTGATGCTTTCATGCGTTGACTTTGGGGCGAGGCAGGAAAGCGTCCCAGGACACTGTGTGGATTTCAGATGCCTGGCATGTAGCCCCTGCACTTCCTGTGCATCTACACACCCCAGCAGACAGCTGGACCAGGCATTTGGGACTGGGCATGATGGTACACAGGGAGGGTGTTTGCTTTGCACACGGCCAACCTGGGTTTGATCCCTGGCATCCCATAGGGTCCCCTGAGCCCAGCAGGAGTGATCCCTGAGTGCAGAGCCAGGACTGAGCCCTGAGCACTACCAGGTGTGACCCCCATAAACAAACTTAAGGAGGGAGAGAAGGTTCCTACAACCGTCCGAGCCCACCAGCCTTAATCTGGTCCAGAGCGAGGCCCTAGCCAATGACCCTTCCTGTCACCCCCCCCCCAGACAGACAGACACACATACACACACACACACACACACACACACACACATACACACACGCACACGCACATCCTGGCAGAGGCCCCAGGCAGCCCTCACCCAGCTTGGCCGAAACGGGCATGTGGTTCACATACACGCATGCACATGCATGTCCTGGCAGAGGCCCCAGGGGCCCTCACCTAGCTTGGCCGACACGGGCACGCGGTTCTTGAGCGGCCCCGGGCGATCCTTGCAGGGCCTCTCCAGCTCGCTCTTGATGTGGCGCCGGAAGTTCTCCCGCAGGATGGACCGGATCACCCGGACCAGGTTGGTCTTGCTCTCACTGTCACTGGGAGAGGGGACAGAAGAACAAGAATGTACCGCGCGCGACCAGCCTCCATCCCTGTCCCCAGGTGTCCTCCCCACTCCCTCTGGCTTGGCCTAGCCAGGCTGCATCTCCCCGGTGCATTCTGCTAAGAACTGCACTGCCATCTGGGAGAGAGGGACCCCCAGTCAGAGGAACTTAGGGAGAGGCAGGGACCCCCACCAGTTATGAGAACTCAGGGGGCAAGAGAACCTCCCGTCATCAGAATTTAGGGGGAAGACAGAGACCCCCCAGCAGTCATCAGAATTCAGGGGAGACAGACCCCCTAATCATCAGAATTCAGAGGAGACATACCTGGTCACCAGAACTTTTGGGGAGACAGGGGACCCCCCCAGTCATCAGAACTCAAGGGGAGACAGGGACCCGCAGTTTTCAGAATTCAAGGCACACTGAAAGCAAGCCCCGTCCCCCGCCCCCCCAGTTCAAGAGCAGGCGGTGCTGTCCGACCCCTGGACGCAGCCCTGAGCGCTGGTACCTGCAGCACAGCTGGAAGACTGTCTCGGGCCGTCCTTCCAGCTCGGACTTGGTGTGAATCAGTTCGCAGAGGGCGCTGTTCTCTGTCCCTGTCATGGGAAATGGGGACCAGGTTCGGGCATCCCCCAGCCTTGCCACGGTGAAGGACCCTCTGGCCCCAGCCCCAGCCCCAACGCTCACGGTTTCCCTCTGAGGCTCTTAACTCCTACGTCCCTAAGCCTGTCCCCAGTCCTCAGTGTGCTGCTGCTCTTCCCTGTCTTCAGCCCAGCAGGGACTCTCCCGGCCCTGGGGGAGGCCGGAGGTCGAGGGTCTCAGCACAGGGGAGTGTGCAGGGGAACAGGACAGGAGTACAGAGGTCCAGGCTGGCCACGTAACAACCCCCCGCCCAGGGACCCGTCACCGCCGCCCGGTCCCTCAGCACCACCAGGATGTGGTTACTTGGAAGTTCTTCCAGAGTCAAATGTTTTTAATGGTCTTTTAAGGGCTTTTTGGTTTTGTTTTCTTTTTGGGTCACGCCCAGCGATGCTCAGGGGTTACTCCTGGCTCTGCACTCAGGAATCACACCTGGTGTTGCTCAGGGAACCACATGGGAAGTCAGGGATCAAGTTCAGATCGGCCATGTGCAAGGGAAATAGTCTACCCTCTGTATTATTGTTCCAGCCCCTGTGGCTTTTTTGTTTTAAGCCCAGCAAGCTACCGAGAGTATCCCGCCCACACGGCAAAGCCTGGCAAGCTCCCCGTGACATATATCGATATGCCAAACACAGGAACTACAAGTCTCACAATGGAGACGTTACTGGGCCCGCTTGAGCAAATCGATGAACAACAGGAGGACAGTGACAGTGACAGTGAATCACTTATGATGGCACATCCTCCAAAGTGCTCTAGTGTGATTTCTCACTTTGTCCCACACGTGGTAGTGATATTTTCTGGGGCCACAGACCCAGAACCCACTCCCTGGCAGCTGAAAACCACGTTCTGAGGGCTCTAGATTAACATCTGCTGAGCTGTGGTGAATTTTAGCATCTCAAGGCCAGCGGGTGGAAAGACGGTTGGAAACTGGTGCCCCTGAAAGGGAGGGCAGGGGAGGCATTTGGCATCTCCCAACTCCCTTCTCCCCCTCAAGGCCAGGAAGGGAGCATCAGGGATTGTCCTACCCTCAATCCCGTGGCCAGTCACCCCGGGATCCCCTCACACTTCCCCCCCTCCCCCGTGTCCTAAGCACATGGCCTAGGCCTGAGTTCCCACCTTACCTGCCGTGTTCCCCAACCGGACCTGAAGGGCCGAGATGGGGATCAGCCAACGGAACTTGAATGGGTCCAGGTCGGCAGAGCCGTGGGCCGGCCGGGAATTGGAAGGCTGTGGGAGGGACAGGCACGGAAGGAGGTCAGATGAGAGCCCGAGGGACCACGTGGACCTGCACCGTGGACAGGGTTCTGAGGGTGCAGGGAACCCCCATGTCTTCTCAGCTTGGATTCCACACAGTGTTTTTTCCCCCCCCCAGTGGAAGGAATGAGGCGTTGCGACCCCAGACTGACACAGCACGTGCAGCATCAGGGGCCATTTTGGGGGGTGTCACAGCTGCGGTGGAGGGGTGGAGGCTGCTTGGAGAGCTGCGTGTTCTTTGAAACCAGACTCTCCTGGGGCCGGAAAGGTAGTTCAGTGGGCAGTGCACAGACTCTGCCCGCCGAAGGCCGTGGGTCCCATCCCTGGCACCCCTGACCACAGTGTCTCCCCAGCACTGCAGAGTGCAGCCCTGCCCCTCCCATAGAAACAATAAAATGGACTTTTCATGGTGGAGGGAAAAAAGAGGGAAACAGCCTGAGTGAGTGTCTCCACCTGGACTCATTCCCCAGGAAGGAGAACGGTCAGTCAGTGGCCAGCTGGCCACCTGAGCGGTTCGCCCGCTGTGGTTCAGCCTTCACGGGAGCATATAGGGTCCAAGTAAGTGGTGAAAAAAACAAAACCCCAGCTCTAGTGAGAAAGACCCGCGTCTCACCAGCTTCTTCTTCAGCTTACAGTTTTCCTTATACACGAGTATGACGGCTCTCTTAAACACTGCGGGCGGGGAAGGACAGAGACAAGCGGGTCAGTGTCTTCCCAGGTGAGTGAGCCCGACGCGGCAGCTACACACAGTTCCCGCCCCCCCCATCCCACCCCCGCACGGCACACCCCTCACCCCTCTCCCCTTCACAGTGAAATTGAGCAGAAACACCTGCTTCTTTGAAAGCGGTTATCTGGGGACTGGAGCAATAGCACAGTGGGTATAGTGTTTGCCTTGCACACGGCCAACCCAGGTTCGATTCCCAGCATCCCATATGGTCCCCCAAGTACCACCAGGAGTGATTCCTGAGTGCATGAGTCAGGGGTAACCCCTGTGCATCACCAGATGTGACCCAAAAAGCAAATAAATAAATAAATAAATAAATAAATAATAAAAGCGGGGGGCTGGAGCAATAGCAAAACGGGCAGGGCATTTGTCTTGCATGCAGCCGACCCGGGTTCGATTCCCAGCGTCCCATATGATCCCCTGAGCACCGCCAGGGCTGATCCCTGAGTGCAGAGCCAGGAGTAACCCCTGGGCATCGCCGGGTGTGACCCAAAAAGCAAAAATAAATAAATAAAAAATAAAAGCGGTTATCTGAAGGAGACCCAGGCTGGAGCACAGCGGTAAGGCATTTGCCTTGCACGCAGCCGACATGGCCGACCCAAGTTCGATTCCTCTGCCCCTCCTGGAGAGCCCGGGAAGCTACCGAGAGGATCTCGCCCGCACAGCAAAGCCTGGCAAGTTACGTATTCAATATGCCAAACACAGTAAACAACAAGTCTCACAATGGAGACGTTACTGGACCCACAGGAGCAAATCAATGAAGAACGGGACGACAGTGACAGTGACAGTGATGGAAAAAAGTCACTGATTTCCTTTGAGGATTCTGAGGCCCAGGCATTTGTGCGACAAGGCTGGCTCTCAGAGAAGGCCTTCTGCGGCACTTGGTACTCTGTGAGCAGGACTCAAAATAGCCTCTGGAGGGCTGTTCCGGGAACACTTGGCCGGGAGAGCGGCAGCAGACGGGAGAGGAAGCGCACGAGCACACAGGGTGAGGGAGTTTTAAATAGCCGAGGACGGCTGGAAGTCAGCGCGGAGCCCTCCTGGAAGTCAGGCCTTGGCTGGGTGTGGGGACCGTGTCCACCCTCAGTCCCCGATCCCAGACAGACACTGTTCCCGGTGGGCACTCACCAAACACGGTCAGCTCCAGGTCCTTCCTGGCTTTGCCCAGCGACAGGAAGGGGTTGAGCCAGGCCACGGTTGAATGCATCAGGAGCTCCCCCATGGAGAGTTCCGTGACCTGTCGGAGAAAGAGGAGAGGGAGAAGGTGTGGAGGCCACCCAGGTGGGCTGCTGCGCTTTCTGGTCAGGGCCGAAATACAAGTCCTGCCCCGCTGAGCTACGTGGCCTTTGTTTATCCAGGGGGCTTGACCTGGGGAGTTTAGAGACCTGCGGCTCAGAGTCAGAGAGCACAGCAGGCAGGACGCTTGACTGGAAGATGGTTCACCCGACTTCGGTCCCTGGCACCCCACACAGTCCCTCGAGCTCTGCCGGGAATGATCCCTGAGCACAGAGCCAGGAGAAAGCCCTAAGCACTGCTGGATATGGCCTCCCAAAAAAATAAAACATGAGCTTAAACCTCTCATGGGTTCTATCCCCCTTGGGCTGGAGCGATTGCACAGCGATAGGGCGTTTGCCTTGCACACAGCCAGCCCGGTCGAGCTGGGTTCGATTCCTCCTCCCTTCTCGGAGAGCCCAGCAAGGTACCGAGACTATCTCGCCTGTACGGCAAAGCCTGGCAAGCTCCCCATGACATATTCAATATGCAAACACAGTAACTACAAGTCTCAAAAAATGGAGACGGTACTGGGCCCGCTCGAGCAAATCGATGAACAACGGGAGGACAGTGTTTTGTTTTGGGTTCTATCCCCAGCACCCTGTATGGACCCCTGAACACCGTCCGGAGTGATCCCTGAGTGCAGAGCCAAGAATAAGCCCCAAACATCGCTGGGCGCGGTGGAACACCCCTCACTGCCACAAAAAAAAATAAAAGAAAAAATTATGAGCGCAGTATTTTTTTTTCAGTGCAAATATTGTCAAATTCCACTCCAACTAGATCCACGAACGTAGTCACCAAGATTGGACATTAGCAAATGAAGAAAAGCCCTAGACTCTGCCCCCTCATGCCCGACCCAGCTCCTTACCCCTCCCAGGAATGCCAGCCGGGCTTTGGGGAGACAGTGCGCCTGATACTGCAGCTTTCTAAAAAAATTTTTATTAGTGAAACACCATGAGGTACAGTTGTAGACTTACAAATTTTTGTGCTTGGGTTTCAGTTATACAATGATCGAGTACCCACCCTCCACCAGTGCCCATTTTCCACCACCACTGATCCCAGTATCCCTCCCACCCCCCCACCCACATCCCACCCTGCCTCTGTGGCAGGGCATTCCCTTTTGCTCTCTCTCTTTCTCCTTTTGGGTACTGTGGTTTGCAAAAGAGGCATTGAGTGGCAATCATGTTCGGTCTGTAGTCTACTTTCAGCATGCATCTCCCATCCTGGGTGGATCTTCCCAACACCCTTTATTTGGTGCTCCCTTCTCTATCTGAGCTGCCTTTTCCCCTAGCATGTGTGGCTGGCCTCCAAGTCATGGAGCAAAATTCCTGGTACTAATCTTGGCCATTCTTGGGTATTAGTCTCCTATTTTGTTACTTAATATTTCCCAGATGAATGCAATCTTTCTATGTCTGTCCCTCTCTTTCTGACTCATTTCGCTTAGCATGATACTTTCCATGTAGTACCACCTGTATGTGAATTTCATGACTTCATCTTTTCTAATAGCTACATAGTACTCCATTGTGTAGATGTACCAAAGTTTCTTTAACCAGTCATCTGTTCTTGGGCACTTGGTTTTTTCCAGATTCTAGCTATTGTAAACAGTGTCTGCAGCCATTCTTAAGTCTTTCTCTACAGCGTGGACAGGGTCCACCCTCTCAGACTATGGTGATGAGCCCTTTGTTCTGCCCACCCCTAAATGGCATGCTTATTATAAGCTTTAAGAGCATGGGGACAGTCACACACACACACACACACACACACACACACACACACACACACACACACAATGCACACACCTCTCAGCACCTGCACAGTGCCCACGCTCACCTCCTTCTCTGTCTCGCTCTGTTCAGCAACCAGCTGGTCAAACACGGTCCCGTAGTCCTCATAGATCTTCTGCATCTCATTGATGTGGCTGGCGACCTTCTCCATGGCCTTCAGGGCCTCTGCGGAAAGAGTCAGGCACCTCTGGGATGGCTGCTGACTTTCAATCCTGCCCGGCGGTCACGAGAGAGCCCAGGACTTCAGGCAGCTGGGGCCAGAGATGGCACAGCGGGCAGGGCGCTTGCCTGGCATGCTGCTGACTCGAGTTTGAGCCCCCACTGTGCACTGGTCCCCTGAGCTCTGCCAGGAGTGAGCTCGGAGCACAGAGCCAGTAGTAAGCCCTGAGCATGGCCAGGCATGTCTCCAGAACAATAACACTGTAAACACTGTCCTCCCGTTGTTCATCGATTTGCTCGAGTTACTGTCTTTGGCATATTGAATACACCACGGGGAGCTTGCTAGGCTTTGATGTGCAGGCGAGGTACTCTCGATAGCTTGCCGGGTTCTCTGAGAAGGGCGGAGGAATCGAACTCGGCTCTGTCTGTGTGCAAGGCAAATGCCCTACCGCTGTGCTATCGCTCCAGAACAATAACAAGCAAACAAAATATTTTGTGAAGAAGGCTAACTGTAGCATTATCGGGGTGGGGTGGGGTGGGGGGGAGCAGCACCTATGGCCTCAGGCCTCCTCTGAGAGCTGAGAAGAGCTGACTCACCTTCGAATCATCCTCATCTTCTCAGAAACAAGGCAACTGAACATAACACCATCACTGATACAGTAGTTACCACTGTGATTTAAGAGTACCCTCTCGCTGAACCTCCACAATAGTTTTTCTTTTTTTTTAAGTTTTTTGGGTCACACCTAGTGTCGCTCAGGGATGCTTACTCCTGGCTCTGCACTTAGGAGTTATTCCTGACAATACTCGAGGACCATATGGGGTGCTGGGGATTGAACCTGGGTTTGGCTGCATGCAAGGCAAACTCCCTACCCACTATACTATTTCTCCAGGCCCCCACAACAGTTCTGTGACTAGAAGAAACTATCTCAGTTTACAAGATGCTGTGCTGAGGTGCAGAGGTGTTAAGTGTTTGTCGGAGAGAGAGAGAGAGAGAGAGAGAGAGAGAGAGAGAGAGAGAGAGCGCTACGGGGCAGAACCAGAGATCCAAACCAACACTGGGTGGCAGGGCCTGCTCCTGACCTTGGCCATGCCTCTCACATCAAATTACCACAACAGTGACCTATGGGGGCTTTTCTACAAGCTCCCAGAAGAAATTTTGTGAAGCATATCTGTCAAGAAGTTGCCGACATGTGCATTTTATAATTTTCTCCATAGGCATATGAGGGGTACGAGGGTTATATTAAGCAAAACAAGAAAAATTTCTGGTCCCTGCCAATATGTCTTCAGCTGCTATTCTCTTAATCTGGTCCTGTAATTCATTGTGGAAGTGGCAGTTGGAGACGCAGCGTCCGTCACAGTACCTTAAAGGATCCTCTAATTTAAAATGAAGTGTTCCTACAGCAGATTAGGGCATTTGCCTTGCACACGGCCAACCCAGGTTCAATCCCCGGCATCCCAGCATCCCATAGGGTCCCCTAAGCTGCGCCAGGAGTTAATTCCTGAGTGCAGAGCCAGGAGGAACCCCTGAGCATTGCTGGGTGTGAACCAAAAAGCAAAAATAAAAAATAAATAAAATGAAGTGTTTGCATAGTAGTCATGTATGAATCATAGGTTGTCCAGTTCGCTTTTGAGAATTTAACCTCCCCTAAGAGAAGAACATGCTGTTACGGACATGGAAGTGTGCCTGTCCATAAACCAAAGTCAGCGTGTGTGCCACCCGCATCCTGTTTGCTGTCCATCTACAAGCGTGTCTCCCTGCGTGGACTCCTGAGTGATACTGCACCGCAAGTGCTTTGCTGTCCCTGTGCAGCATCTCCGTCAGGGTTACAGACTGCCAAACGGGGGGCGGAGAGAGGGGGGAGGGGCTGCTTCTGCTCCAGCCGGTCCCTTAGATGCAGACCTGAGCCGGGGTCTGGAGTCGGAGTTGTGCGGTCCGGAGACGGCCACAAGAGGGCGCCCGGCCCCTGCCTATTGTCCCCCTGGCACTGGCGAGCGTGAACCCAAAGCCTCCAAACCCTCCTGAATCCACAGGGAAAGAGCCCAGAAGGCGAGTCCAGGCACCTGCTAACCGCGGGCCTGGCCATGAGTCTGCCTCCCCGTGATGCTTCAGGTACTTCCTCTGAAAGATGCAAAAGCCCGGCCAGGAGGCAGTGCAGGGTGAAGAAGGTGCCCCGGGTTTGGTCCTCAGCACATGTGGTTCCCCAAGCCCCGCCAGGTGTGGCCAGCCCTCCCCCAACTTCCCCCCCACACACACACATCCACTCAGAGGGATCCGGGGCTACACCCTGACATCACTTTTGCCCACAGACTTTGCCCCTTTAAAGGGATGAGTATACTGGCTGCTGTAACACTAAGGAAGGCTCCAGAAAGTGGCAGCATGTGCGGAAGAGCGGGGCCTGAAGCACGGGGTGGGCATAATCCGCTCCTCACCTTTCAAATGGTGGGAGTGCTCCTCCCCTGTCAGGCGGGAGTGCTTCTCGTCTATCAGATGGCAGGAGTGCTCCTCACCTTCCATGTGGTGGGAGTGCTCTTCACCAATCAGGTGGGAATGCTCCTCGCCTATCAGATGGCAAGGAGTGCTCCTCGCCTGCCATGTGGTGGCAGTGCTCCTAACCTCTCAGGCGGGAGTGCTCACCTGTCAGAAGGCAGGAGTGCTCCTCGCCTGCCATGTGGTGGGAGTGCTCCTCGCCTGCCGTGTGGTGGGAGTGCTCCTCACTGTCAGGTGGGAGTGCTCCTCGCCTGTCAGAGGGCAGGAGTGTTCCCCACCTGCCATGTGGTGGCAGTGCTCCTCACCTGTCAGGTGGTAGTGTTCCTCGCTCTCGTGGTCGGTGAGTGACACGAGCTCCCGCAGCAGCAGCGGGTACTTGAGCACCCTCTGGACGGGCTTGATGAGGTACGACTCCAGCGTGGACGAGTGCTGCTTGGTGGGGTTCCGCGCGTCCAGGAAGGCCTTGAAGGCCGCATCTGTCTTAGCTGCAAGAGGATGGCAGAGCTCAGCGGGGTGCAGGGAGCGTGGTTCCCCCTGCCCCTGGGGGCGTCCGTCCCTCAGCAGAGATGGCTGTGCACCCCACAGTCAGCCTGGGCCCCCACCTATGTGAACCCCGGAAAGGTGCTCCAGGCCACGGGAAAAGTGCGGCCCGTTTCCTACAGGCAAACACGGTCAGATGGGGGAGGGGCAGGCTTTGAAGGCACGTTTACACAGAGACCCATGAGGGAGAGACGCAGAGACAAAGAGAGAGACAGAGACAGAGAGAGACCAATTGAGACAGACACACACACAAACACAAACACACAAACACACACACACACACACACACACACACACGGGTACAAGGCTGCAGCAACAGTCCAGCAGGGAGTGTTTGCCTCCAGGCAGTCAACTCTGATTTGATCCCCAACGTCCATCTGGTCTGAGCACCATCCGGAGTGCTCCTAAGTGCAGAGGTTACGACCCCTGAGCACTGCTGGTGTGACCCAAAAGCCAAAGAGAAAAGCGAGAGAGAGACAGAGAGAGGCAGAAACAGAAACAGAAAGACAGATGGGGTTGGAGCAACAGTATAGCAAGGAGGGCATCTGTCTTGCACTCAGCCGACCCGTGTTCGAGTCCCAGCATCCCATATGGCCCCCTGAGCACCATTCCTGAGTGCAGAGCCAGGAGTAACCCCTGAGCATTGCTGGGTGTGATGAAAAAGAGCCAAAAAAAAAAAAAGAGAGTCAAAGACAGAAAGAGAGAGAGAGAGAGAGAGAGAGAGAGAGAGAGAGTAAGGGAGATAAGAGCTCCCCTCACCCACCAGGCCACATAGCACTGCCAGCCACGGAGCAGAAGGGATCTCATTTATTTCCCACTGTCATCGGACAATCTGTTAACTGACTCTGTATACCGAGGAGCTATTTCTAAAGCAATCTTTCCTTCCTTTAAAATAAATTCGGGGCCGGAACTGCAGTTCAGCAGGCAGGGCACTTGCCTTGTAAGCAGCTGGCCTGAGTTCAATCCCCGGAATCCCACATGGCCCCCTGAGCCCGCCCAGAGGCCTTCCTGAGCACAAAGCCCAGAGTCAGCCCTGAGCACCACAAGGTGTGGTCCCCGAACAAAAACAAACGACTCTGCAGAAGCCCGTGTTGTTCTCCTCTCTCTCTCTCTCTCTCTCTCTCTCTCTCTCTCTCTCTCTCTCTCTCTCTCTCGCTCTCTCTCTCTCTCTCTCCTCTCACATCTTAAGTTTCTTTCAATAAAAATTACTCTGCTTCACAAAATAAAATTTTAAAAAGTTTCTGAGTCAGAAAGGAAGTTCTGGGGTTGCATACAGCTGAACCCAGGTCAAGTTTTAGCATCTCTAGGAGTGAGCTCTGAGCACAGAGCCAGGAGTGAGCCCTGAGCCCCGAGCCAGGGGTAAGTCCTGAGCACCAACAGGTCTGATCCCCCCACTTCCTGCCCCTTCCAAGATACTGTGAACCCTGATCTCCTGGCTGAGGTGGTGTCAAGATGAAGGTGACACAAAGTCCAGAATGGAAGGGCCTCAGGGACGATGGATCCCAGGCAGGTGTCACAGGGCCCAGTGACAAGATAGCAGCGAAGACCCCTCTGATGTCCCCACCACCACTCCCCCCCACGACCACTGCCACTGCATTGCTTGAACATCCTTCCCGGGCTGTGCTTAAGGGGGGGGGGGGATCACCAGTGACCCCCACAGCCCGGCGGCCACACACAGCCTCATCAGCCTACACGGCACTGTCCCCGGCCGTGGAAGGGAGTCTCAGCAAACATAAAATTTTTTATCCAACAAAAGCGCATCCGGGCCAAGCCTGGGGCCACCTCTGAATGCTGACGAGTGAGCAAGGCCATCAGTCAGAGCCCACGCCTGGCAGGGAAAGGGGTGGGGTGGGGCATGCAGAAAAATGGAAGCGCCACAGGATGGGGGTGCCGTGCCAATGGGGGGTGCCCCCTGCCCCGCGCCTGGCCCCACCACGGGTTTTCATTCCAGCTAACGCACCTCACGGGAGTTAGCAAGGAGATTCCCGCAAGCTTAACCCAGACCAAGAACAGGGCGTACGGTTCTCTCTGCCCCCGCCAGGGGCTTCAGGGAACAGGATTTTTACATCAAAGAATGTGACAAAGAGGGTGGGGGACCCAGATGTGCACACAGAGGTGGGACGCAGCAGGGGGGAGCTCACTGAAATGAGCCGGGATCAACAATGGGGCCCGTTCAGAGCCATCAAACCCTGCTCAGACAGCTGCAAAGGACAGAAAGCAGCACCTCTGCGAAAGTAAGGCACGCCGACTCACCGTTCTCCAGAACCTTCTGCACTTTGATGTGGTTGGCGCAGAATCCGCTGTACAGCTTAAAGTGGTCCGCGTAATAGAGGAACGAGCCCCCCAGCGAGAAGAGAAGTTTCTAGAAGGGGAGGGGAGAGGCCACATTGGAGGCGGTGTCCCGGGTCATCTGCTAGACCCACTGTGGCACCGGGCAGCTTCGACGTCGCCACCTGACTTGCCTTCCACGTGGCAGCGCCCGAAGACCCCCCCGCAGAAGGCTCTCAGGGCCACCCCGGGGCTCCGCCGGTCACAAGGCAGGCGGAGAAGGACCCAGAACCCCCGCGAGCTCGGCCCTCGGCGTCCGACCTGAGAAACCCGCATCCCCACAGACTGGGAGTTATGGATGAGTAGCGGCCGAGCCACGGGTATAGCCAGGGCACCATCCAAGAGCAGGGGACGCTGTCCCAACAACATCGCATCCGGGCCACAGAGACAGAGCGACAGTGGCCGGAACCCTGGCACTGCAAGTAGCCCCTGAGCTCAGAGTCAGAGGTGGCCCCTCAGGTACCCCCCAAAATAAAATACCACAAAACACACGTCTGAGCAAGTGGGGTGTCTGTGCGGCGAGCGCTGACCTGCCGAGCTGCCCCGTGTCCTAGTGATGGACATGGTGGCCTGTCCACGACCCTGGTAACCCCCCCACCCCACCCCGCCGCCCTTCCCAGGAAGGTTCCCTGCTCATCTTCAGTGCAGGCAGTGGACACCCTCAGGAACTGCTGAAATCCCAGGGCCACGGGGCCACGGCAGAGCCCTCCCTCTCTGCAGGGGCACGTGGCTGACCACCAGGCCGGCCCTGCCCACGGCCGGGCCCAGACTCCGGAAACGGGGGCCGAGGGCTCTAGAAGCAAAATTGCAGTCTCTCACACCCACGAGGGCCGAGGCGAGTCATGGAAGCTCTGTCCATCCTCACCCCGTAGAGGCCGTGGTCACTCCCAGGACCCAGACACTCACTCGGAACTGGGAGGGGGTTTCCAGCGTGTCGAAGTCGGATGCGGCGGAGATCCCGGCCTCCAGCGTTTCCAGAAACACCTTCTGGAACTGCAGCATCTCTGGCAGGCTCCCAAACAGTGACTCCATCTACAGAGAGAGAGGGGCTGAGGGCTGGGCAGGGCGTGCGCCTGCGCACAGCTGGCCGGGCTCCATCCCCGGCACCCCGGAAGGCCCGTGAGCACCGTCAGGAGTGATCCCTGAGCACAGAGTCAGGGGTAAGCCCCGAGCAGGCGAGTCCCCCAAATAAAAACAAAGGAAAAAGAGCAGGATTGGAAAAGGGAGGTGATGGCGTGAGCCATGACGCCCTCGGAGCCATCTGCAAGGACCTTTCCCCTGCCCTGGCCACAAGCAAAGGAAGCGTGGCCAGTGACCAGGCTAGGGAGGTGCATGGTTTGGCCAGAAGACAGCCGGAGAGAGGCCTACGGCACTGTCGGACTGACCCCCAATTCCTTTGTAAGGGACACAGTGCTCTCAAGGACTCAACAGGGGAAACAGACGTCGGCAGAAAAGGGCTAATCGATGTGGTTGTGTGTGTGTGTGTGTGTCTGTCTGTCTGTCTGCCAATGCTGGGCTCTGGCGAGTGTGTGTGCAAGCTTGTGCTTGTGCATGTGTGTGTGCGCATGTGTGCATGCGGGCGGGTGTGTGCAAGTGTGTGTGTGCATGTGTGTGCATGCGTGTCTGTGTGAGCGAGTGTGTGAGCATATCTGTGTGTGTGTTTCTGCCTATAATGCTGGGCTCTGGGAAGTATGTGTGTGTGTCTGTCTGTCTGCCAACACTGGGCTCTGGCGAGTGTGTGCAAGCGTGTACTTGTGTGTGTGTGCGTGCACACCTGCCAACGGTGGGATCTGGTATGTGCACATGTATGTGTGCGTGCATGTGTGTGTGTGTGTGTGTCTGCCTGTCTATTCTGGGTTCTGGTGTGTGTGCACATGCGTGCATGTGTGTGTGTGCGTGTGCATACATGTGTGTGTGTGTCTGTCTGCCAATGCTCGGCTCTGCGAGTGTGTGCGCAAGCTTGTACTTGTGCATGTGTGTGTGCGCATGTATGTATGTGGGCGGGTATGTGCAAGTGTGTGTGTGTGCATGTGTGTGCATGCGTGTCCGTGTGAGCGAGTGTGTGAGCATGTCTGTGTGTGTGTTTCTGCCTATATCGCTGGGCTCTGGGAAGTATGTGTATGTGTGTGTGTGTGTGTGTGTCTGCCAAAACTGGGCTCTGGCGAGTGTGTGTGCAAGTGTGTACTTGTGTGTGTGTGCATGCACACCTGCCAACAGTGGGATCTGGTGTGTGCACGTGTATGTGTGCATGCATGTGTGTGTGTGTGTGTGTGTGTGTGTGTGTGTTTGTGCCTGCCTACGCTGCGCTCTGGCGAGTGTAGAGCCCGGGGAGTGGGGGGGCGGGGGGGCAGCAGGCTGGGCTCAGTGGGTCCGTCCTCCTCCAAGATCTGGACAGCTCTGGCCCGGAGAAGGGGCTCACGCACCTCGTCCTGGGTCAGGAAGGCCTCGTTCTGCAGCGGCTCCAAGTAGAGTTCGAAGAGGCAGCTCAGGTCCTGCGAGAGAGACGGAGACTGACCAAGGGGCACGCCCCCTGCCTCTGCGCGGACACCGAGGGTGCCTGGGTCCTTTGAGGCCCTGTGCGTGTGGCTCTCCGCGGCTGGAGGGGGTGTCGGCCAACAGAGCAGCCGCGCAGCTCGGAGCTGGAGCCCCTCTGCTGAAGGGCCGTCAGAGGCGTGTCCAGCCACGACCCCACGCAACCCTATGGAAGACCATGCGGCTGGATGCAGGGTGGAACAAGAAACCAGCAGCTGTAGAAACGTTTCTGAGCGCCCAGCGGCGACAAGGGAATCTGAAGGGCTAGGGCCATGCTGCTCTTGGAGCGGGGGGGACGGGGTTAGGGCCGGGAGATGGTGTGCCCCACCTCCACAGTCTCCAACCCATGGCACGGCTCCCCCTAGCAGCCTAACATCCTACGAACACCCTGATTCTCCCTCTGCCCCACCCCTCAAGCTTCTGGGGTGACTTAAAGACTCATGGCCCACAGCCCTCTAGCCACAGAAGGCCACGGCAGCTTCCGGGGTCTCGGACTTCTCCAAGGCACCGCCTGCACCTAGCCGAGCCACAGGACTGAAGGACGGGGACGTGGATCCATCCTCTGCAACTTCTCCTCCCCACCACGGGACCAAAGCAAGGGCTGTGGGTGGCCAGAGTCCCCCGGTAAACAGGCAGAGTCGCCCCGAGAGGAGGTGGGGGCTGACCCTGGCACCCACAGGAGACAGTCCACGAAATAGCCACATGCCCAAAAGCACCATCTGATTGGAGGGGTTGGGGCTTGGTTTTGTTGGGTTTTGGGGTGCTCCCCTGCAGAGCTCAGTGCTCAGGACTCACTTCTCAGGGTGCCCAGGAGGCCATATGGGGTTGCCAGGAATCGAACCCAGATCGGCCGTGTGCAAGGCAAGTAACTGAACCCCAACATTCTCTCTGGCCCAAAGCGCCAGCTGGACGCAGCCGATCCAGAAGGAACCGGGTGCCCGTCCCCACCCACACGGGGCGGCGGGCAGGACGGCGGAGGCTGCGGCCCCTCCAGGAGGCCCATGATCTCCCCGCCTCCCTGTGCTGGACCAACGAAACGCTGGGCCAGAGAGCCAATACCTGAGGCAAACGCCTCTGCTCTCTGGGAATGGACACTAGGGCACATGCTGGGGGGTCAGTCCTGGGCACTGCATGGTCCCCCGAGCATCGCCAGATGCAGTCCTGGGAGTCTCCCCCCACACCAGGGCAGGTAGAGACCCTCCAGCACCCCAGGGTGGGCAGAGACCCTCAGCACCCCGGGGAGGGCATAGACCTCCACTCCCACCAGGGGCGGGCAGAGACCTCCAGCACCATAGGATGGGCAGAGACGCCCAGCACCGCAGGGCCCAAGCAGGGCCACACCCTGGGCCCTTGACTGGACCAGGAGACCAGCTGACAGCATCACTGCTGGGCCCTAGGCCTCCTGAGCACTGCTTGGGAGCGCCCCACTCCCCCAGATGAAGACTCTCTCTGCCAGGCTCAGGGGCTTCTGCAGGGCTCAGCAGGGACCCCAGGACAGCAGAGACTCCACAGTAGCCTGGCCTGGATCGGGCCCTGGGCACCGTCGGACCCCTGGGTGGGGGTACAGCCACAGCACCGAGACCCCTTCCCAAGTTCCTCGTCACCCGAAGCCTCCCCGTCCCGGCCACTCCGGGTGCGACTCCCCTTCCGCTGCCAGCACGAAGCTCCCACGGTGACCAGGGCAGCAGCCGAGCCCTCCTCGGCTCTGTGGCCCCCGCTCCTCCTCAGGGTCTGGCCCCCCACCTCCCTCCCAGCAGGGGTCCGCTCTCTCCCGCCCCCGCCGGCCCACCCAAGCCAACGCCACCACCAGTCACCTTCACGTAGGACTTCTCTGTGTCCACCAGCTCCTGGATGACCTTGCGGAGCCGGTCAGCCTCGGACAGGTGCCGGGCCAGCGGCCTCGTGGGGGGCTCCTGGATGGTCGTGGGTCCTTCCATGCCGTCTGTCTGGGGGTCCTGGAAACTCCTGCACAGCGCCACGATCTGCTCGGTGCTCTGGGGAAGGCATGAGGTGGAAGATGAGGGACAGGGGCGCCCCCTGGAGGCGACAGGCGCCCCTGCACCCGGGTGCCTGGAGTCATGAGGCTTGGGGGGAGGGGGTGGGCACACTCCCCGGGCATTGCCCACGGGGGAGGGGGGGCCCAGGCCTGTCTCTGCCCCAAACCTCCGGGCCCCGCTGCCTGCCCTTCCCAGGAGGAGTCCACGGGGTGGATTTGGGGGTCAGTGAAGGGGCGCAAGAGCGGCAAGGGAGGGGGCGAGGGCAGCTGATGGGCACTGGGGACCGCGGGCACCCCAGGACAGCAGGGAGCCACAGCCTGAGGGTCGTGCAGGTGGGCACAGCATGGCGAGCCCCAAGTGGACCCAATATGCCCCCCTGCCTGCCTGCCATGCCCCCTCTGCCCGAGGCTGTGATTTCCAGCCTCCGACCTGCCACCTCCTCTCCCCGGGCACCTCCCGGGGTCCCGCAGACGCCGCCCCGGGCGCCTTCTTGCTTCCTTCTTCTCTCCTCCCCACCCACGCCCCAGCTGCAGCCTGGCAAGGGCAGAGCTCACGTCCCCGCCTGTGCCCGGGCCCCGGCGGAGCAGGAAACTTGGTACTGATCCGGTTCGCAGCCCTGCACATGCCCGGGAGCCCTGCATACCCGCTGCCACCGGGAGCCTCCCAGGGCCGCCAAGGGCGCATGGGGCCAGCAGCTCTCGCTCCGAACACGCGCCTTACTGCACCTGCGTTTCACAGCACCAGCGACCCACCCAAGCAAGCCGGCCGACCTCGTTCTAGAGCCCCCCTCCCCGCCACCAACCCACACCAAGTACCTCCAGACACACTGACCACCCCTGCTGCCACTGCCCAGGTGGCGCCTCTTCCGACCTCCTGCCCGTGCACGGGCGTCTCCGTAGGAAGAAGTGCGCACCCAGTCCCGTTTGATCTCAGCCGCCGGCATCTCCTGACCAACCTTGGTTCACTTGGACCAATGGGCGCCTTGCTCTGTTTCCAGAGACACCAACGCCAGCCCCTGCACAAGGAGGGAGCCCCAGCCCGAAGGACTGACTGACGTCCAACACAAGCTCCTGCCCCTGTGGGAAGGGGGGTGTAAGGAGGCGGGTCATAGCGGAGTCCTAAAGGGGATTTGTCCCAAGGGAGAACCCCAGACCTCCAGAATGAGCCAAGGATCCCAGGGAAACAAACTCAATGATGTACAGAGCCCGGCTCCCAAAGGAGGCTCCCCAAGGGGCCGGAGCAATGACACAGCGGGGTGGGCATCTACCTTGTATGCGCCGACCCAGGGTTGATTCCCGGTATCCCATATGGTCCCCGAGCAATGCCAGGAGTGATTCCTGAGTTGCAGAGCCAGGAGGAACCCCTGAACATCACACTGGGTGTGACACCCCCCTGCCCCCAATAAAAACAAAGGGAGGCTCCCAGCATGGGCGGATAGAAACCCCCCCGGACAATGGCCGTACTCTTGTAACTCATGCTCTCCTTGGACACTAATCTGAACGCAAACCTTAGTTCGATCCCCACGAAGGTGTGAGGGAGTCTGCTGGGGGAACAGCACACAGGCCTGGTGGCCAGCTCAGAGCATGAGGAAGAACAACAAAGACGGCTATACTCACACACACACACACACACACACACACACACACACACACACACACACACACGCACACACACACACACACAGGATCTGCCCCTTCCATCTGTGACTGTCCACACAGGTGTGTTCTTGCCATGCCTCTCAGACAGACACAGACACAGACACAGACACAGACACAGACACACACACACATACACGCTGGACCTGTCCCTTGCATCCATGACTGTCCACACGGGTGTGACCCTGCCACTCCTCTCGGAAGATGTTCCTTCTCCTTAAAGTCCCAAAGCCCGAGAAATCAGATATGGCTCCCGAGACGCCCTTCAGAACACGACTGAGCGATCAGGATGGCTCGGACCCAGCTAGATTTGGCATTCTTGAGGCCCCGGCAGTGCCAAGCCCAAAGGGGGCGCCCGAGACAGGAGCAGAGGCCAGCGCGCATCCGAGCTCTGGAGCGGCCCTAACGGAAGTGACCACTCGGGGTGCCACGCTCCGCCCTTGCAGACCACCCCACTGGCCACTCTTCTGCTCTGGTTCTAAGAGATGCCCTTGCCTGGACCAACTGGACAAAGCTACCTGGGGCCCGCGGATAAGTGTATCGTGAAGATTTCCCAGGTGATGTGAATGTGGGGTCCGAAAGAAGACCCCCAGCCTCCTGCTCAGTACAGAGAGCGTTCTCAGAGGAGCTCCAGTCAGAATTTACTGTGGCCGGGGTCTGTCATGGCCATGGGGAAGGAGTGGACAGGCGCACATCAGGGCCTGTGGACTAGCTGGCCCTTCCAATGGCCAAGCACCCTGAAGAACAACACTGGACTGTAGCTCTGTCCTCCCATTGTTCATTGATTTGCTCAAGTGGGCCCAGTAACATCGTGAGACTTGTTGTTACTGTGTTTGGCATATGAATACGTCACGGGTAACTTGCCAGGCTTTGCCGTGCGGGTGAGATGCTCTCAGTAGCTTGCTGGGCTCTCTGAGAGGGGCGAAAGAATCACTCAGGTCAGCCAGGAAGACTGGAAAACTCACCTATGTGAGCCAGAGAGATGGATGGCCAAGGAGGAAGATGCTTGATTTGCTAATTTCCAGCCCTGATCTGAATCCCCAGCACCCCTCAGTCTCCCGGAGCCCCAGGGCAGGGCAAAGCCCCGAGACCTTGGAGCTTAGCAGAGCCGGGAGTGGTCCAAGCCCCGTCCACCAGCTAGAAAAACAAAAAGGACCCACTACCTTGAACCCTCTCCCATGGCATTTGTACCACCAAGGTCAGACAATAGAATTTTGCAGTTCTGGAAAATAACAGTTTGCCGGGGCTGCAGACTCTATATTAAAACTCACGGATGCCGCACAAAATAAGATCTGCCAAAATGCGCCCGAGCTAAATGGCAGCTGGTGAGATCACAGCTTTGCCTTCCTGGGATGTCAAAAATCACACCTAACGACGCAGCGCTGAAGGAACGAGAGGGTTTTAAAATAAAGACTCTGCTATTGAGAACAGCACAATTTATTTTAGTGGCGCGTCCTGGGAAGCTTCTCCTGGAACATGGGGCGTCGGCGGGGACTGGAAGCAGCGCGTCAGTCTGCCGGGAGGGTGACCCGGGCACCGGGCACCCAGGAAGCAGTGGGGAGAGAGAGTGGGAGACAGAGACAGAGAGACAGAGACAGAGAAACAGAGACAGAGAGAGAGAGAGTGCAGGTGCTGAGGACATGTTTCTAGCCTGTGGGGAACATCCCTGACATGTGAACTCTGCTACACACACACACACACACACACAGACACACACACACACACACACAACACACGTCTAGGAGGCTTCATGGATGTGGAAACCAGGTGGGATTCTGGGCGTGTGAGACGCGATTTTCTAGGAACGGGGGCGTGTGTGGGGGTGGGGTGGGGCGTCGCTTTTCAGTGTGGGTCAGGAAAGGAAGGTCTAGGAGAACCAAGCAGGAGTCGGGCTCTGCCCAGATCCCCATGGGTGCCCGCGCCAGCCTCACTCAAGTTCTCTTTCATCCCAGAGCTGGAAGGGCTGTCCAAGCCCCTGGCCATGCCCTGAGAGCCCTGTGGTCAAGGAGGAAAAGGAGACTCGGGCTGTGTGGGAACCCAGTCTCATACTTGGGTGACCTTTAAGCCTCACCTCAACCAGGCTACGGCACTGCTGGGCATCTCTGTGGGTCTCAATCTCTCAACCCACTCTTGTTCTCCCCTTTCTTCCTCCTTCTTTCTTCATCCCTCTTTTTCTCTCCTCCTTCCCTCCATCTCTCCCTTTCTTCCTTCCCTCCCTCCCTCCCTCCCTCCCTCCCTCCTTCCTTCCTTCCCTCCCTCCCTCCCTCCCTCTCTCCCATTCCCCTTCTCTTTCTCCCTTATCGTTCTTTCTTTTTTAACAAAACGACAATTGCATGAAAATAAACAGTCACCAAATGAGGAATCAGGATCAGAGTTGGGCAGAAAAAGACCAGCATATCTGGCGGGTGTCAGAGCTGCCCTGGCCGAGGGAACCCCCAGACACAGCCTGGGGGGGGGGTGGTCCTCAGGGCGGCCACCCTCTGCCAGCATGGGGAAAGCCACTGGCGCTGAGCTGCGGATGGTGGGGCCGGAGCCCCAGGCCAGCAGGTCGGGCTCCTGCCTTGGATACGACCGACCCGGGTTCATCCCTGTTTCCCACAGGGCCCCAAGCACCGCCAGGAGTGACCCCTGAGCATCGCCGGTGCAGTCCCAAACCAAAACATCAGGAAACCGAAAACCAAACCCCCCAGAGCTGCAGACAGCTGTGAGCGTCACCAGGCCCTGCATGCTGTCCCTGAATCCACCCTGGCACCACCTGCGGCCCTGAGCACTGAGCCAGGAGGAGCCACCGGGCACTGCCAGGTGTGGCCCCAAGCCCAGCCAGTGGCCGGGGGTTGGACTCAGGGCTCTGCTGGGATGTAACAGAAATGCCGCAGCCTGAACTTGTGCCTCTTGGGGCGTTTCCCGGGCCTGACGTCAATGGGCCTGACCTTTTATTAGGGACTCAGAAACGCTTTTCTGTGAGTCACTGAAAAATGCAAACATTTCCCCTGAAATTCCTCTACAGAAAAGCAGCTACCTTGGTGCAAAGTATCTCCTCCATGGGGAGGGTACGGTCTCTGAGCTTTCAACTGACTCGATTTATCAGGGAAGGGACCACATTATGGTGTTCCCAGGGCTCACTCCCAGCTCTGTGCTCAGAGATCACTCCCAGCTCTGTGCTCAGGGCTGACTCCCAGCTCTGTGCTCAGTGTTCACTCCTGGTTCTGTGCTCAGGGCTCACTCCCGGTTTTGTGCTCAGGGCTGACTCCCGGCTCTGTGCTCAGGGTTCACTTCCAGCTCTGTGCTCAGAGATCACTCCCAGCTCTGTGCTCAGGGCTCACTCCTGGCTCTGTGCTCAGG